ACTACTGAACTAAATATCAGATGTCACAAAACCAAATGACAACAATTCAAGATCTCATTGGTTCTACGAGAAAAAGGAAAAAGAAGCTTGATGGATAGACCTCTTCTTCAACAAGAATACTATGAAATAGATAAGGGGGAGATAAGAAAGCAATTCTCTAACAACAATACAAATTTACCTATATAGTTGGTACGTTTTTTTCTCTATAAAAGATTGTGAGTTTTAATTTGACTGTACTTCTATGTCCTTATTAGGAGATTGTTCTATGTAGTATTTTGATTGGTGTTTATGTATTTATCACCTAATTGATAAGTGTTAAAATTTCTGTTTTCTAAAAATACAAACTTAATTGAAGTCCCTGGCCTCTGATGGAAAAAGATAAAAGTAAAAAAAAACCAGAGCAGGAAAAGCAAACGCAGTAGAACCTATAAACCTTTTCTTCTAATTCCAGTCTGTGTAAAATGAGCAAAAAGAGCCTCTACATAGGCTTACATAAAACAAACAGAGCTAAAAAAACCGTCATCAAATCCCACAACTAATCACACTACTCTGCTACCTATTTGCAACTGTAAAAGAAACTTACTTAAATTTAGGAAACTAACATATAAGAGAAAGACTCATTCAAACTTTTAATTACATTTCAACACTCTCCCTTGATTCAAAGTTACTAACTCCCATAATTTTTCTGAAATTCTCATGCTTTTCAAATGGAAGCACCTTTGTCAGTATATTAGCAACTTGTTCCTTTGTATTACAAGATTTTAACATGATTTCTTCACTTGTAACAAGCCTCTGAATGAAGTGATAACGAACGTCAATGTGTTTTGTTCTGCTGTGGTAAGCTTGATTCTTCATCATTGCAATAGCTGACATGCTATCACAAAAGATCTCTGTTGCTCCAGCTTGCTTTTGATCAAAATCAGCAAGAAATCTCCTTAGCCAAATTGCTTGACTGGCTGATACTGTTGCTGCAATACATTCAGCCTCTAATGATGAGAATGCTACCACCTCCTGCTTCTTTGAACTCCATGAAATTGTTCCTGATCCAAGATTGAACAGAAATCCATACGTGCTTTTTCTATCATCGATACAACCTGCATGATCACTATCAGTGAAACCTGTTAGTTTAAAAGTTGATACCTTGGAGTACCAAATTCCCAACTCTGCAGTTCCTACTATGTATCTTAAAATTCTCTTTGCAGCTCCAAGATGCAGCTTGCTTGGATTATGCATAAATCTGGACACAACTCCAACAGAGAAAGCAATATCCGGCCTAGTATGAGACAAATAGTTCAAGCCTCCAACAAGACTCCTGAAATATGTTGCATTCACACTTCCAGCACCATCATCTTGACTTAATTTTTCATTTATATTCATGGGTGTGACTTTTTTTTTACTGTTCAGCATATTGAACTTCTTCAAAAGATCCATTGCATATCTTCTTTATGAAATAAAGATCCCATCCACAACTTGCATTACTTCAATACCAAGAAAATAATGTAACAAACCTAAGTCTTGTCATTTCAAATTTTTTCATCATGCAAGCCTTAAACTCAGTAATTATAAACTTACTAAAACCCATATAAATCATATCATCAACATAGAGACATATTACCAGAAATTCATCTTTACCATTTTTCTTTAAATAAAGCGTATACTCATTTTCACTTCTTTCAAATCCATTCTCTTAAAATAAGAATCAATTTTGAAATATCATGCCCGTGGTGCTTGCTTTAAGCCATAAAGCACCTTTTTAACTTGTAAACTTTATCTTCATTGCCATTTGCTACAAAACTTCAGGCTGTGAGACGTACACTCCTTCCAAATCACCATTTAAAAAAGCAAATTTAACATCAAATTGATATACTGGCCAATTTAATTGAGCAACTAAAGCTAAAAAAATCTCACCATTCAAAGCGTGCAACAGGAGAGAAGGTTTCATAAAAGTCGATACCTTGTTGTTGAGAATAGCGTTTTACAACCCAGCCTCGCCTTGTGTTTTTGGATACTCCCATCTGCATGATACTTGGTTCTGAACACCCATTTGAGGCCAATAGCATTCTTTCTTTTCAGTAAGTCAACCAAATCTCAGGTTTGATTTTTCTTAATAGCTGACAGCTCCTCTTCCATAGCTTTATACCATTCCTTACTTTTTACAACTTCTTCAAAGTGAATAGGATTTGATACAAGCAGAGCAAAAGTACAAGAATTATAAATTTCTTGCAAGGATCTATATTTCCTTATAGGAGTTTCACTTGATGAACTTGAAGATGATGATTCATTGCTTGTAGCGACAAATGAATTGCTACTTCCAGGAGTGCCGAAGCTAGAAATTGTTGGTGTTGAATTCAGCGATGATGCAACATTATCTTCTAACACTTGAACATGCTGCTCTTTGTTTTCTTCATTCCAAATCCATTTTGCATCTTCATTAAAAACTACATCTCTGCTAATGGTGATCTTGCCACTAGTGGGGTTATAGACCTTAATTGTTTTGGATTGTGAGCAGTAACCAACAAAAATATACTTTTCAGATTTTTCATCAAATTTTCTAGAATGGATTTTAACCAAAGCATAAGCTATACAACCAAAAAATTTTAAGTGGCTTACCGTTGGTTTTCTACCTGTCCAAGATTCAACAGGTGTTTGATTATGAACAGCTTTTGTAGGAGACAAATTGAGAATATACACCGCTGTTGCAACAGCTTCTGCCCAAAAATAAATAGGAAGACCTTTTGCTTGCATCATACTTCTGGCCATCTCCACTACTGTTCTGTTCTTTCTTTCAGCTATGCCGTTTTGTTGTGGTGTATATGGCGCTACAAGCTCCTTGCGAATTCCATTTTCCTTACAAAAAGTATTAAAATCAGTTGAAACAAATTCACCTCCTCTATCTGTTCACAATGTCTTTATTAAAAGACCTTTGTTTCTTTCTACAAGTGCTTTAAACTTCTTAAATCTGTCAAAAGCTTCAGACTTGCTTTCTAAAAAATAAACCCAATTCATGCGGCTATAATCATCTGTAAACAGCAAAAAATATCGACTACCACTAAGAGATTTTGTATTCATAGCCTCTGTGCATGCACTAACTCAAGGCAATTAGAGGCTCTCCAAGCCTTTCCTACAGGAAAAGACTTTTTACTCTATTTTATCGGACTCATCAAATTCCTTAAATAATGATTTTGTTCCACACATATGGTTAGAACAATCCCTGTCCAAAAACCAAACATTGTTAGACTGCTCTTTCTCACAAAAAAGAGCCATGAACAACTTACTTTCTTCATCTAGTTCCTCTGCAAAACTTGCTTGTTTGTTCTCATCTTTTTGTTTTTTCCAACAATAAGTCTCTCTATGACCTGGTTTGTTACAGTAGTAACATTTAAAGATCTTCCTTTGCCTCTCTTCATTAGATTCGCTTCTGCCTGCACCTTTTCCTCGGCCTCTTTCATGAAAGCCACCTCTGCCACTGTCACTGTCACTGCCACTGCCACTATCACATCCAGCAGCATTTTCATGCATTGCCCCCTTCACCTGAAAGGCTTTTTCTTCATTCTTTTCATATGATCTGAGCAATCTGTCTCCATGAGCTTGTAAGGAACTCATTAGCTCATCAAATGAATAATTTGATAAATCATGGGCTTCCTCAATAGTAGCAATAATATGTTCAAATTTAGGAGTAAGACTCCTTAATACTTTTGCAACAACCGTTTCTTCATAAATCACTTCACCATACGACTTCATTTGATTAACTAGAGAAGAAACTCTAGACAAATAAGCTTAAACAGATTCATTATTTTTCATAGACAGAGTTTCAAATTCACGACAGTATGTTTGCAACTTTTTCCGTAATTATCTTCGAGGAGCCTTGGAACTCCTTCTTCAAAATTTGCCAGGCCTCCAAAGATGTTGCTGCTGTTGCAATTCTTGAGAAAATTGTTTCATGGACAGCTTATTGAATTAGGAATAAAGCTTTGGCATCCTTCTTTTTGGTTTCTTTCAATCTTTCTTCTGCCTCTTCATCTGGGTCTTCTAAATCCACGAAACCATATTCGACCAAATCCCAAAGATCCTGAGACTTGAAAAGAGTTTTCATCTTAATACTTTAAAACTCATAACTTTCACCTGTGAAAATCGGTTGAGCGGCTGTGAGGATGATGAAAAAACGTTTGCTGCCATTCTCTGCACTTTCTCTTGTGTTTCCCTACACTCCCCAAAACCTTTTACTCAATTGCCCAAAGGACCAGAGCCTCGCTCTGATACCAGATTTGATGGAAAAAGATAAAAGCAAAAAAAAAAAAAAAACAGAGCAGGAAAAGCAAATATAGCAGAACCTGTAAACCTTTTTTTCTGATTCCAGTCTGTGTAAAACAAGCAAAAAGAGCCTCTATATATAGGCTTACATAAAACAAACATAGTTAAAAAAACAATCATCAAATCCCACAACTAATCCCATTACTCTGCTACCTATTTGCAACTGTAAAAGAAACTTGTTTAAATTTAGGAAACTAACAGATAAGAGAAAGACTCATTCAAACTTTGAATTACATTTCAACAGGCGAGAAGATTGATCATGTATGCTGGATTTTTTTATTCTTCATTTGGCATCTTAGTAAGAATAGTTTCTCTGCCTTCCTTTTTTAAGGAAATATTCTAACATTAATTTAGACGAGTTACTTGTTTCTCCTTATCTGCATACTAGACGAATTATGAAAATTTTGAAGTTTAGAAATCAAGTACTCTCTCGTTAAACAAGCGATTGCTCCATCTATCGTATATGCACTTACCGCTCTGGACTTTATAATGGGGGTTCTAAGCTCTCATGAGCTCTCACTCCCTTCTTCTTCTTGCTTCAGTGAATGAAAGTTCCAGTAACCCAGTTTCTTTCCCGCAAATTAGACTCCCAAAGACCCTGCAGACGCTGAAAAATCCTGGGGAAAGAAAAAACAAGTTAAGTTTAAATTATATAATTTCTTTATTTCCATCTTGAAACACATAGAAAACAAGAAGTAATGTGCAGGAATGAATGTTGGGTTCACCAGAAAACTACCTGAGAATGCAACTGAAATATGTAGCAAAGTAAAAAACAACCAAACAGACCACCACGAAGAACCAGCTCGTCCTCCTCCCTGTTATATGTTTCTTGAGCAAGACAACAATGCAGAAAACCACAGGTGGAGAATAGCCGGAGATTGATTTAAGGAAAAACTTAACAAGCCCAATCACCACGAACTACGCATATTACTTTATGCAAACCACGCAAATTGAAGTCCCATTATCATCCGAATAAGAGATAACCATTCTATTTCTAGCACTATCTGGGGCAAGCAGATCCTTACCTCATTACTCAAAATTCGGAATCTACTTCCGATAGATTTAAGTTCTGGATGTTGGGTTTTCTCTGCGGAAAAATCTCGATCCTCAGCGCGACAAATCTTCAGGCTGTGGAGAACCTTGAGAAGCCTGGACTTGAATTTCCTTCAGGGTTTCCTGGGATGAAATGTGACTCAGATTTGAGCTTGAAGAAATACTTGCGAAGCCTAAGCAAGAAGGAGAAATGGTAAAAGTTCCAAGTGGACGAGAATCTCGTTGCTTTCAGTTTGATGTTCAAGTTCTTGGCTCTCACTTGAACGCTGATTCTCCACGACTGCTGCTTCTGTTGGTCCATTTTGGTAATTTGATTTCCCGTGCAGTCTTTGTTTGACCTTATCTACTAACACTCGCTCATACTTTTTTACTTCCTGTGTCAAGTTTTATATTCAACTATTCATTCGTTCAAACTTGAACCTAAAAATACTACTATTAAAATTACATTTTTTTTGAAACTCGGAATGTACTTCTAAGTATATTTAATTTAAAATTTTAGTATTTATTGCTTTTATGATGTAAAAAATAAGCAACATGTAATAATTTTTTATTCAAAATACAATTTGATAGAATAATGTATTTTTAAATTCTGATTTATTTTAAAATAATTTTCAACCTGAGTGACTTGTCATTTTCTAGTGTGAGCAGGAACACTTTTTTAGTTGGAGGTAAGGGTTTTAATGTTTTTGTTTGAGCCTCTAATGCTAAATATTAAGACTCTACTGCATCAACTATATAATGATATTTCTCTATAATTTTTTCTATCTTGTACAACTACTTTATTCGTAATAGAAAATAATTTAATCAATAATATATATTTTTAAATATTTTTATATAATTCATTTAACTCAATTAAATATTTTATCACCAGTCTCTCTGGTAGTATTTTATTACAGATTTTAAGATTTTACATGTACAGTTTTGAACCGATTCTCTAATTAAGTAACTCATTTAAAAGTACTTTAAATTTCGAGACTATCAATTTATTCACCCCATAGATGTAACGGCCTCGAAATTTTAAATGAAATAAATCATAAATTAAATGCGAAAGCGAAATAATTAGTTATAGTTTATGTAACACCCAAAAAAAATATTTTATTTTATTTTTATTTTTATTTTATTTTATTTTTTATTAGAATTTTGTTTATTTTATTTTATTTTAATAATTAATTTATAAAGTTTTAATTTAATTTAATTTAATAAAAATAATAAAATGAGGTAAAATTATTTTTTGGATTTAATTGAAATTGATTTTGGAAAAAAAATAGTGAGAATTTGGATTATGAGAATATTTTTGAAAAGAAAATCGAAAATCGGGGGTCAAAACGCAATTTAAAAAAATAGTATCACGTCAGCAGCCGTGTCAGAAGCTCGGTCAGCAGTCTCGGCCAACCAAGACACGCCGCGTGGCAGGAACGCTGACGCAGGAAGCCACGCGGGATGGAGACACATGGGCGATCCGCGTGCACGCAATCGGACAGCCCAAATCCGTTCCCACGCGCACGGATGGCCCATATCTCACACGTGCGGACGGCCCAGATTTGATCACGCACGGACGGTCCAGATTTATTTCTAATTTAATCGCGATCAGACGGTCCAGATTAAATCATGATGGACGACTCAGATTAAAAGGAGAAGGTTATAAATAATCGCATCCACACTCAACCTCAAACCCTACCTGCCAGAACCCTCGCCGGAGAAGACGACCCAGCCACCGGAGGAACCGGCCGCCGCCACCCACCACTTCACCAGAGGATTTTCTGGCCGTCAAACGAGGTAAAATTTCTCCTCTTGGCTCGTTTTTCGATGTTGAACCTCCCTGTGGCCAAATCGGAGCCAAACCATCGGCTGATTGGCCAAAAAATACCGCCGAAGTCCAACGGTGCCGTCGCGGATTTCCTCAATTTTTGCCTCCGATGAGGCCCTTCCCAATTCCCGTTTGATGTAATTTTTATACCACTGTGACCACCGTCCTTTTCTCTATAGGTTAACCGGAGCAAAATACCAAATCGCAACTCGTGCCGGAGGAGCCGCCGTACCTGAGAGCTTCGCCGCTGGTAAGTCTCAGTTTTCTGGAATTTTTTTGCCCATCGAAGGCCCTAGGGGTGTTTTATCATAGGAACTAATGCAAGTTTGGCCAAATTCGACCGAAAATGGCCAACCCGAGGCGGATCGCCGCCATGGGCGACGGCGCCATCGCCGGAGCACGGCGGAGCCGCCGTGCCGAAATTCTAAAATTGGCCGAGAGGGCCTTGGGTCTGATTTGGAATTTTTTGGGGACATGTGTAGGTACCGAAAGTGTATTTCAGTTTCCGGAAAAAAATTCAGGGAATCTAGGAACTGGCCGTAGGCGCAGTGAGAACCCGATTTCAGACT